GAAATGCAGGGATGTTGGATTTGAAGTAAACCATTTAATCCAAATCTTAGAATATGGAGAATCTTTACAGAAAAGTTCTTGATTCAGACTATAGGAACCGACCTGATAGGTGACGTTGAAACCTCTGGCTGCGTTGATCTTATCAGCATAGAAGTGAACTCTGAGCTGACCCGAGGATGAAACCACGGCGACTGGAGCTCTGGAATCAAAAGCAGTGAACACCCTGAGGAGGCTGCGCGGATTCTCCTCCAGACCGTCGTAAACTTTAACATAATCCCCATAGCCTGTCCCATCCAGTTTAAAGTCTGTAAACCTGAGGATAACCTGCAGAAGGGAGAGACTGTGATGAAGAGAAGTACTTCTTTCCGTTTTCTGTGTTTTAGCTGAGCCAGTCTGAAATTACCTTCCGATGGTCTCCAGTATCAATCAGCCACGTGCAGTTACTTCCTGGAGGGTAAAAATCTGGGTAGTTTGGAGAGCTAAAAGAACCATAGAAGTTCCTGAGCCATTCTCCACAAGTGGGAACGTCACAGTCGATCTCATCACCGAGATCCTGGAAACACAGAAAACAACTAATCAAAAACGTACTGCTTGTGAGCTGCTTGTTAAATGAGCTGAAAATACACACATGACAAGACAGGAAAGAGTCCTGATAAGAAGGGTTTTGTTGGGAAGGAAGATAAATATAAAGATCAGTGCTGTTAGCTTACTGCGCTTGTGCCATTTTCAGTCGTGTTTTTGTGATATTTTGGTTGTATAATTCCGTTATAAACAAAACCTCTGCCAAAAGGAATGGACGTACAAAATCTCTTAGTGAAACAATTTTAACTTAATGAGTAATTTAGTAATAAAGTTTATGCCTTTAGACTTAAACATTGCAACTTATAGTCCATCCATTACACAGGAGGTGACTTGTTTGGAGAGTTCACTATTTATGGCTGCGGTTAATATCTCTGGAAAAGTCCAAAAATTCCACATCATAAAATGGAAATGATAAAAACAAAAATTTATAACAGAAATGTCAGCCTTTTTAAAAGCATTGCCATGTAGAGTACAGAATAAGCACTCAGGAATCTAATTTGGGTAATTTATGGCATTAATGCAGCGTGGTGTGAAAGGCAGTCTCAGAAACAGAAACATCAGAGGTTACAGCAGATTTCAGGTTGTTTGCATGCTTGGGTCTGTTATTTATTTATCAACAATGCTTATTTTCCATTATAGTCTGACTGATTTACACCAATTTAAACATCAATGACAAGAGTTTAAATCCCTGCAACGTTTCCTGAATCTAAATGAAATGATTTCATCTAACAGACTTAAATTATATTAGTAAGATGTTTTATGTTTATTTGTTCTGTCAGTTGTCTGCTTAACATCCAAGCTGGGCCTTTACCTGGCAGTCGATGCTGCCGTCGCAGCGCAGGCTGTGGGGCAGGCAGGTGTAGATCCGGGTGTACCGCGACAGGCAAGGGAACTGGTTCATGTTGCAGGGTTGGAAGGAGAATGGGGAATCCACACACAGCTCTTCGTCCGAATTGTCGCCACACTCATCCATGGAGTTACAGCGCCACCAGTCTGGGATGCATTTTCCATTGGAGCAGTGGAATTGGTCCACATCACAGCTGGCTGCCTCTGCTTTTCCTACAACATTTTAATTCTTTATTAAATACAGCTGAGCAGTAAACCTGAAGCATTTTATCAGAGTGTTTCCCTAACATCTCCATTTAGTCCTTGCTCAGAGGATTAAAATCTAATCCAGAATTACATCACTGCATCCTGCTCTCTGAACAACTGTTATGCAACAAACAGGAGGGCATGCCAGACGCGGCAATCAAAGGATGACAGACACAGAAAGGATGCCTGTTGAAACTACTACTACTGAAGAAATCAACACGCCATCCTCACCGGTGATGTAGGACAGTCTGAAACCTTTCCCTGTCAGGTTTTCGTCAGAGTGGAAGTGGATCCAAACGTGGTCCTGTGATGAGATGTAAGGGGGGTGGCAGGGAGGAGCCACAAACGCGCAGGCCATCCAGGCTTCTGTAGGTGCTGATGGACATCCAGTCTGAGGTGCAGCGATGGGAGCCCTGCAGATCAAAATCTTGGAAACTGCAAAAAGAGCCAGAAAAGAAACACATAAGTAAAGCCGAGACTTCAGTTTCCTTCAAATGTTTTGTTTCTTTTCCTTAAAGAGAATGACTGAAAAAATAAATTTGATTTAGAAAACAAATGTATCAATAGGAGCTTAGTTTTATCTTTCTTATTTGAAATAGGGATCAAATAGACTTATGTTCACTGAGATAAGAAGTCCAGTGAGCCCCTAAACATATTAAAGCCAATCCTCATTACTTATAACAGGAACCTGCGACTTAAAGCTTTTATATTGGCAAACACGGGTAGTTAACAGATTTAGCTTTAGGCTTGAACTAAAACAATCCTGGCTCAGATGGACGGCGAGAATCCAGGAAGTTCCAAAGCCCATCAAGGACTGAGCAGCCGTCCAAGACAAAGGAGCCCACTCAAAAATAATCCTTACAGTTTGTGTACGATCTGAAAACATTCGTGAAAAGTGGAGACAGAATCGGCTCCAAAATATCTAACAAAGCAGGAATAGAATCCTACAAACTGATGACATTGTAGCCTTTATAAAGTGGGAAAAACAATAAAGGAATTTTCACTATTTTTAATAGCAAAAAAAATGCCATGGCTAAGATCTGCAAAGTGGAAAGATATTCAAATAAGGAAATAACCAAAGAAGAACTAAAACCAGTCATGGGGTAAATTAAGCAAGCTAACTATGAGGCAAAAATATTTCAAAACCTGCAGTCCAATGTCTAACCAGAACTCTGCTAGAAGCTGCTTCAGAAGGGAAGGTGCAACTGGAATATTTAACAAACATTAAAAGCTATTTAATGTATAAGAGGGAAAAAAATGTAAAGGTGTGATTACATTTCCTGTTTTTTTACCTAATGGTGATGGAGTCTCCAGGTCGAGCTCTGATGTTCCAGCTGCAGTTCAGCCTGGATGGGTACTGAAAGGGCCAACCCGGGCTTGTGATGACGCCGCTGGACGCCCGCAGGAGCTCCGCCACGTCGCCGCAGGCTGGAGGGAGAGAAAACCGTTTAGTTCTGTTACAGTTTAACGTCAGATACAAATAAATACAAATGGTTAAGATGTCATCTTCGAGACCCTGAACGCACCGTTAGAGAATCCAGACACATAGACGTTGTCGTTCCTTTGAGAAGAAGCGATGCATCCTGGGAAAAATGTAGGTAAACCAATGAGAACATCAAAAGGTACATCAAGTTTATTTTTATCCCAACATACAAACATTACTGTTTTTAAATAAGAGCAATCAGACAGAAATAATTGAACAAAAAAATATGAACAAATCCAATGTTTTCCCCTCTTCCCAAACAGATTGTTTGATGATCAGCATTATGCGGATGATCCGATTCTGTTTTTCCTATGGAGGATTATGGGATGGATTAACTCATTTTACTGGTAAACAGTGGCTGTATACATCCTCATAAAAAAATAAAAAGGGAAGTATAGATGCATGCCATCTAATTTTATCATGAATAAATATTCTTACTGAATCAGGGCTGCATCTATCAACTATTTTAGTTCAAATTTGGAATATAGAAAAAATACTTTTACTATGCATTTTAGATTCATTGCAAAACTTAAAAAAAACATATACAAAACATTAAATAAATACACATACATACATATGTAAAAACAATTTAATCTGTACTTGAAATATTGTAAATATTTGGTATTGATACATATTTATATATGCAGAGTTTAGTCTTAATTACTGCTGTAAAGAGGCTGTTCTTTCAGCAAATGGCATTTTCAGAGTGTGTGTTTGATTATGTTTGGGTACCATATGATTTAAAATTGGTTGACAATTATTTTAATAACATACTATTTAGGATTAGTCAGCCATATTATGAACCTTACTAAAAGGCAAGCCATTATGTTTTAGAAGGGTTAAAACAGTAGCACAAATATAAGGTTTCAGGTAACTAGAAATCAACAATATGTACTTTCAATTCCCTTTTAAATTTCTATTTTGGTTTAGATGTAAAGGTTGGGAAAATAAGCTTGAATGGAAACAGAATATATTGTAAACCCAACATTTTTGCGATTAACTACTACTGCTAAAAAAAAAGAAAAAAGAAATCATATAATTATCCAAAAAAAAAAAAAACCTGCAGTACTTAAAAAAGAAAAAGCTATATGCTGTTAATAGAAAAAAAAACGAATAATGTAATACAAACGTTTATTATGTTAAAACTATAATTTTAGATATGGATATAACTATGTAACTATCTCTATATAGGTGGAAGTGTTTACAGCTAAAATAAAATAAATATATGATCCAGATGTTTCACTTTTTTGTTTTCCATGACTTCAAATTAACATAAAGACTTAATGACTCATCTAATTTCAGAAAGGGTTTTATTCTGGTCTTACCTGACAGAAGGAGCAGGTAGATGATGCTCTGCCTGCAGTCTGAGCTGAGGGCCATGGTAACCCCGGTGTCGGAACCAGCTGCAGGGCTTATTTTTGATCGATCAGATGTGTGTGGTGATACCAAGGTCACTCAAGTGAGCGCTGCATGTCAGCCGATCACAATAAAAACCGTTATGTCCTCTTTATTACATTAAAAATACTCTAATTTCGCAGCTAAACGTGCTAACGGTAACAGCTGACCTGCGCTCGCACCATAAAGCAGTTTGCTGCTGGAAACAAAGACATCTGAGCCCGTTAGCCCCAGCTAGCAGCACTACGATACCGCTAGCTGTTGGCAGAAATAAAAGGCACAAGCTGCACCGTTTCAACAAACAGACACATAGTGAAATTAAATACGGTTACCTAACTGCAGCGACGACACAACAACGGCTTACATAAAACCTGGACACAAATAGACCACCCCCACCAAAAAAGAAAGAAAAGAAAAAAAGCTAACTGACGGTTTCCTGCTAATGAGCCTAACGATTGGGAAACTGGCCCATTAGCAGCCAACTTGCTAACGGAGCTACATGGCCATCCAGCCCGTCCACCGCCACAGCAAGACCTGAACCCCAGAGCGTGTGGGTAAACTCGTATCGACCCAAGTAAACAGAGCCACCGGAGCCAGATATAGACAGAGCTCCCGTAGCTCTGCTTATCGGTCCAACAGCATCCTCACTGTTAGCGAGCAACAACAGACGCAGAGAGAGAGAGTGAAGCTCCGTCAGAGTGACGTCACAAACTTTCTTTATTTGATCTCAGAATTCTGACTTACATCTCAGAATTCTGACTTTATTCTCAGAATTCTGACTTTAATTTCAAAATTCTGAATTTAATCTTAGTATTCTGACTTTAATCTCAGCATTCTGACTTTAATCTCAGAATTCTAAATTTAATCTTAGAATTCTGACTTTTTTCTCGGAATTCTGACTTAAATCTCAGAATTCTGACTTTCTCAGAATTCTGACTTTAATCTCAGAATTTTGGATCTTAATGTAGATGGGCACCATGAAGGGAGAGATGTGGGAGCACTCAGCTTCACTGACAAAGATGTGAGTTGTTTGGGATGGCCAGTAACACATTGGTGGAACATGACGGAATTAGACGACTTGTTACATGGCCGAGGGGTCCCTGGTGATGCTATTTTATTAATGGAAGAGCAGAAGGTGATTACAGTTTTTCTGGATTGTTTACACACATTTCTGAAAACATGCCTCGTATTCTCAGAACTCTACACACAAATCCAACAAACACACACACAATGGGCAAAACCCTTCAATTCTCCTGCAAAATGAAACTTTACATTCAAAACAGTTTTATCTCTTCACAAAAGGCCATTTTGTGTTCAGATGACACACACAAACTATCATATGAACAGACAATTAAAAAAAGCATTTAAACACTGATGTGCTCAGTGTAAAACACCATTCTCCATTCATCATAATGACTTTTTGTTCAGTGTTACACTTACTACAGACATTAAATACATAAGTGCGTTGTAAAATATTTTAGAATATTGTTTTTATACTCAGAACACACAAATATACTGTAACAAACATGTTTTATTTTTCCCACAAAACAATGTACACAGTGTACATCCCAACTGACACAAAGTTGCACATACAGTGCAGAAGATTTTACTGTATACAGTTACAGTAATAATAAAAAAACAAAACAAAATAAACTATGCTGCATCCTCTCTTCTGTTTCGGTCTGGCCACAGCACCTCATCTACATCACAAGCAATGTTTTCCCTGGCCAAGCAGCGGGGGAAATATCGCCTAGCATGGCGAATCCAGCCATGAAAAGCATCAACTGCTATATCTCCACATGCGTCTTCCATAGCTTGGAAAAGGGGTATACGCGTTTCTGAATTTAGGTCGTACACTTTCCATCTCCAGGCAGAAAAAAATTCCTCAATAGGATTGAGGAATGGAGAATATGGAGGGAGATAAACAACTGAAAAGCGTGGGTGGTCAGTGAACCAGTTATGAACCAGAGCAACCCGGTGGAAGCTTACGTTGTCCCAAATGACAACGTACCTGAGCTGCTCTGGGCCGTCTATCTGATCTGGTGGAATGAGTGTGTTGTGTAGGGTGTCCAGGAATGTGATCAGATGGGCAGTGTTGTAGGGGCCAAGGGTAGCATGGTGATGGATGATGCCATGGTCGGTCATCGCTGCACACATTGTGATGTTCCCTCCGCGCTGGCCAGGGACTTCAACAATGGCACGCTGGCCGATTATATTCCTTCCCCTCCTTCGTCTTTTTGTGAGGTTGAATCCAACCTCATCAATGAAGAAGAACTGGTGCTCCACTGCATCCACCTCCAGCTCAAGGACTCTCTGAAACACACATGACAATATCAGAAGTAGACATGGAGCGGTCTCTATTGTGAAGCACAATCATTATGATTACAATATAATAGAAAGAAATATGTATGATTTATACAATGTTGACAGTATGCATCAAAGGTGGGAATGTACTGTATAGGACGTACTTGCACATAGTTATATCGCAATTCTTTGACCCTTTCTGAATTGCGCTCAAATGGCACCCTGTAGACCTGCTTCATCCTCAGTTTATTTCTGTGCAAGACACGGTCCAGCGTTGATAAACTTACCCTATCAATATTTTGAAATATCTAATTGTTTTCTATTATTTTTCTTTGTATTTGCCGTAAGGTAATGGCATTATTTTCAAGAACCATGTTCATGATCTCTGTTTCCTGTTCAGGAGACAGAAGACGGCCCCGTTCACCTCTTGTTGGTAATCTTTCAGTTCTGCAATACAAAGAGTGCAATACTGTAAATACTGTGTAGGAATACATTTCCCAAATACTCGAAACACAATGTCCTACAGAACAGTCCACAGGTAATACTGTACTACTGTACTCATTGAGTACTGTATTGATATGCAGTACTGCAGTTTTGTAGTGAGAGTAGATTTCTTACCTATTCTCATTGCGGAAAGTCCGGATGATGGATGCTACAGTGTACCTGCTCAAATTTGGCTGTACTCTTTGCCCAGCCTCCCTCATTGTTAGGCCATGGTTGACCACATGGTCAACCAAAGTTGCTCGGATCTCATCAGAAATGATTGTCCTTGGCCTTCCTCGTCCTCGTCCTCCCCATCGTCCTCCTCTTACTCTCACTCCTCTGGCTCTGGCTCTGCCTCTGTTTACAACATTGGCCTCCATTGCTCCAAAACAGAAGAGCTCACCTGTTGCCCTTCTATGCTAAAGCTCTGATTGCTGAGTGGAAACATGTGTGTTAGGTGTTTGCCCATGTGAGGAGTCAGTGTGCATAGTAGGGAAATTAACTTTAGAGTTTTGAATAACAGTGTGTTCCTTGTGAAAACAAAAGATTTTCTTCATGACAATTGTGTGTAGAGTTTTGGAAAAAGTGTGTTTTAGAACTGCAATTTGAGTGTAAAGCAGGAATTGTGCTTGTAGTTTAGCAGAATTGGTTCAGGGGGTTGGTGCATGAGTTACATTTTGTGGTCATTGTGTTTCAAGTACCAATATTTGTGTGTAAACAATCGAGAAAAACTGTAAAGCAAGAGAAAAAGAAAAAAAAATACAAATTCTGAGAAATAAATTCAAAATTCTGACTATTTTTTTTTTTATCATATTATATTGAAATAAAATTTACAAATCAGTTAACCTTTTTATTTTTACAAAAAATACAAACAAATACATACAAAAAAATGGGCTTTACGTCTTCATACCCCTTTTCAGACAATTTACATTAATCAATATCGGTTCTCTGGCTGTATATAATGAGAAGTTTGTTTGGTGAAAAATTGTGTTCCTTTTTATGTTCGGGTGATGTAGATTTGATTGGAAATTGGAATTTGGTTTAGTTTGGTGTTAGCCAGTCTCTTTTTGTGTGAATTTGGTTGTTCGTTTGCTTGAAGTATTTTCCTGAAATTGATTTATTTATTATTATTTGTCAAATTTTCAAACTGTATGAAATAAATTCCTTTTCATTCATTCATTCCTTCTTTATTTCTTTCATAAAAACAAAGTTTCTCATTTGCACTTTTCTCATCTTTTCCACATTTTGCTATTTTTTCTCACTGTCTTTAATTTTCCTTTATTTTTCTCTTTTTACATTTTCTTTGTCTTCTCCGTACAATGTCATCTTATTTTTCTAATTTGCTTTGGATTTTTATTTCATATATATTTTTTATTTTAACGGAACATATCTAAAAACCCCACATGCTCTATATCCACAACAATAGCACAGGTGGTGTTTGGTAGTGGGTTTCATTTTTTCTTAACAGCAGCTGAAGCCTTTCTCAGCTGTCCTATTGTTCCTTCAGTGTGAGACCTAACACCCCCACAACCCCCACTAAAACTGGCCATCTGCTGTAAAGCCCCCTTTCCTGCAACCACATGCCACAGTGAAAAGCCATAAGGTCATACAGAACTCTAAATCAACATTAATTTACTAAACCAGTCTGTATTAATAATTGTTTTAATAATTTTTCATGGGTATCAAAGTCACTGCATATTGAGGTTTTAAAATTTTAGTTTATGTTACAATTTTCAGTTGATCCCAGTCTATTAAATGAAACACCAGAGAAAATACCAAAGGGAGCAGATGTATCCTGAGTTATGAAGAAATACTCTTGCCCCAGAGAAAGCTGCTAAATGTTCAAGCTAATTTAAATAAAGACTTCAGTAAAAAACACAAAGTTGTAAACTAAGAGCTGTAACAATCACCTCTACCAAGATGGTTTTAAAAGTAAGTCTAGAAATTCGAGTTTAAAACCATCTTCTTATTCTTCTCTTTTTTGCCGTTTGCTGGTCGGAGTTCAAAGTTTGCTTACAAGTTTGAAGACGTTTCGCTTCCCATCCAGGAAGCTTTTTCAATTCAAAATGTCAGAAATAGCATTGAGTTTGAGGCTTTAAAGAGTAGAGAGTGGAAAACATGCAAATTGAACCGGATGAACGGGTCTGCCCATTAGGAATCTGCAGTTGTTTGGGATCTTTGTTAGCCTGCAATACCCGATACTGGTCTATGTCTCTGAAAGATGGTTTATTAGGAGAGAAAAAAAGCTTCCTGGATGGGAAGTGAAACATCTTCAAACTTGGAAACAAAGTCCAGTGGATTTTTTTTTTTTTTTACTTTTTGGAATATGTTTAAATTAGAACAACAAATCACCTGGTTGGGCCATCCACCCCTGGCCCCTCATCTTGATAACGTCAGGCTTATTAATGACAACAAGTTCAAGGACAACAATCAAACTTTTTATTGCTCAGTACATGAGGTGAAAATCTTAGAGATCCACATTTTTAAGCTCTGACATCGTTAAAAGGGACTGAAGGATCTCTGCAGATGGTCAGAACCAGGAGCAAAATTCATCATAACCAACATAAAACATCTAAAAAAAAACAAACATAAAGATGCTGAGGAAGATCAGGATAAATATGAAGAAACTGGTGCTGTGGAGGCATTTCCTGTGTATGTGCGCAGGAACTGATCCAGACTGTAGACGGTACCCCAGCCCACAGAAGGGTCCATGCTGATGAAATCATCCAGATTCATCTGATTTTCTGAGGAGGAGATGTACCACAACACAACAAAATCACATGAAGTCTGACTTGGATACATCATCAGACACAGCTAACACCAAAGGGAGACGTGCTACCTGCAGTCTGTATGGGCGGGTATGGAGGTGGAGGCATCTTCCAGGTTCCATCAGGGTTCCTCATGTGAGATCGATCAGACGCAAAGTTCAACAGGAAGCTGTTGGCAGGAAAGACACGCAGCTTCCTGTCAAAGACACATGCAGACATTACTGTGTTGTCATCAGTATTGTTACCTTCTGCAGGGTTTACCTGTGGTATTCCGGTCTGATGTGGCGGTCCGAGCGGAAGGCCATGGCTCCATAAAGGCCTAGGCTGCAGGGAAACGACAGCTCTGAGTCCAGATCATAAACCAGAGAGTCTGACTGAGGACGCACCTGTAGCAGAACCACGTGGTAGTCCTGATAAAAACAGCCGCACAGTTAATGATGTCACAGAAAAGCAGTAGGAAAATCAGATTCAGGGATACTAGTGTAAGAAATACAGACCCAGAAGACAGGGTGGTCACCATGTCCGGATTTCTGTTTCCATAGAGGGATCTGGAGAACAAAGAACACCTTTAGAATAAAATAATCAGTTCTTTTGAACTCAAGCTTCAAACAAACCAGGGTCACATGTATGTATTATACATATTATTAATATGATTGAATTGAGTTAAAGAAACGTGATGCATTTTCTAAATACCGTACCTCACCATATTCTCCAGAAACTAAGGCTGCTTAAATAAAGTCATCATAAAAGCTTTGACATGTTTTATGGAGATGATTGAAAAAGTATTGACACCCTCACCCCTACTTTAAAGAAGGACCAGGATATAAAGTCTTAGTCAGAGCTCTAATAATAGAGACCTCTTTAATTTATCATCTGGACATGAAAGAGTGCAAATATCTTAAACCCTGCAATGAGATTGCCATATACTTAAGGTTACAGGTCAGACAAGATGAGTATTAACCAAGGCTCATGGTAACTAGCTTTGGTAAAAAAAAATACACGGAAGACAGAAGTTGTGCAATTTACAAATCTGGACGATCAGGAAGTGGTAGTTGAACAAAAACCATAAAGCGACATGTTGTTTTTTGTTTTTTTACGCCGTGCGGCGAACAACATGTGGAAAAGGATTCTGTGTTTAGATTAGAGAAAAAACTTTTTGGCCAACATGAAAAATTGTTTTTAAGGAGTTTACGGCCTCGCCCACAATTACTTAAATTATATAATTGTATTAGGTCATCAAATCAATTTAGTTTAGACAGTCGAATAACCTGCCTGTAGTGTCTTTAAATGTCCAGCAAGTGTCAGTATTCTGCGAGACAGTATCAATGCAGGATCAATACAGTGTCGAAACGCTTCAAGATGCCTCATTAACTCATCACTAATGTTCATTAGTCCCTTAAATAACCGGCTTATAATGAATCTATTTCATTTATTTATAAACTCAATAATCCATTAGCTTTATATTGGTCTCCAGACTCTCACCACTCGTTTGTCATTGGAGATGAAGACCACAAAGAGCTGTTCCAGTGGAGCCGTTTTCTCCGTTCTAAAAAAATCACACAGCTTCCAAACATTTTCTTCACTGCAAATAAAAAAATAAAAAAAAAAAACAGAGAAGGGGCCCAAATGAAAAGGGATTTCAAGGACAACAATTTAAACAGTTTTAATTAAACCTTTAAAATGAAACCAACACATTGAGGAAGTTGTACAAGATGGCAAAATTAATCACTATGAAGAGAGCTGGTTTCAAATGCTGCTATGCATTCAAATAATGATATTGTTATAGAGCTGAATTATGGACCGAAGTTTGATTTATTGGTATTTATTTAAAGCTCCCACTTGTTTTTTTTTGTAATGATTAATTAATGTAGCAAACCGTCGCAGATGATCATCACCATGCAGCACAATAACCTTTTAGAAGAACACTGCCTGAATCAAAATTGTTGTTATAATCATATTTACCAGTAACAGCTGGTATAAACACAATTTTCGCGGCTAGGTGTGATTCTGTCCACTGCCGTCATGATCTGGTGTCACACCAGAATGGTTCCGGCGGAAGTACACTAGGAATTTTCAACTTAAAAGCCCCTAATGTAAGTAGTCATAATAATAGCATTATTAAAATGTGTTAAAATGTATTTTTTTCATTTGTGTATATCATAAAATTAAAATAGTTAGAGATTATTTAAGGATTTTATTTAACCTGCAGCATTAGGCTGGGGTTGGAAAGAAGGATGGTATGATCATCAGAGTATGTATGTGTTGGTCAACTAATATTTAAACAATTCCAAGCAGAGGTAGTTTTAGGCCAACTTTACCGGGGGGCAAGATGGGGCCAGTGCATTAAACAAGCAAAAATAAAAAAACATTTCAACTGGGCTACTGGTCTCTTTTGGCTCCTGTCTAGAGCCACCCATGATCCCAGAAAAACACCATCTTTCACCAGAAGTCTGAACCACTGATACAAGCCACCATAGGATTCCTGCTTTTATGTTGTTTACACCAAACTATGACAATCTATCATCAGACTGATGCAGCAGTCAAAGGGATTTTTTTGTTGTTGCCATTTTGTATTGAAAAATCTTGGTTAGCCTATATTACAGTTTTCCACTGTGCAGTAATCTGCTGCTTTTTAAGATTCACTCATGTGTTCAGAGATAATATCCCATATACCTCTGTATGAAGCTTCTAATCTGAGCATGCCTATTGTCACAACTGACTCCTGTGCTCCCTCAGCATTTTCCTCAGGCTTATGAACCTATAAGACAGTGTGTCAAAAGTTTAGAAATTAGCCACCCATCTCTTACCATCAACCATGGCACATTCAAAATCATTTTAATGATTTTTCTTCCTTCTGATGCTAAACTGGAAGCTGTATTCACCATCTAGATGCATTAAGTTGATGCCATATGACTGATGCACCTTATTTGGGGATGTCTGAATACAATAATGGTTTTGCAAGTCATTCAAATAACAGCCAAAAAGACAAATATCCTAATATATCAACCTGCACCTAGAATCTCAGATATCAGCAAGCTTACAGAAATGCTCTGTTTAATATGTTGGTAATTGATTCACATTCCTGTTGTTTGAATAACATCACTAGGTCAAATCTTTTCTAACATCCCATGCTACAAAATGAGTAAATAAAAGTACATACGATTTCTGCTGGTATTCTATTGGGTCAATGTTAAAAATTTGTATGTCGGAAATAAAATTAAACAAGACACACTGGGACATCCCCAATTTGTATTGACAAGCAATTTTAAAGCTGCATCTTATGAATCATTAGAGCAAATTCAAGGATTTTTTTCTGCCAATGTTTACTTTTGCTCACTGATGAACTTTAAGAAATGGAATTGTCATGTGAGGTGTATTAAGCGAAATTTCGTTTTGAGGGATCTAAATATTAGACTCCTCAAAATTACCTCAATTTAATTTTATAAAGCTTCCTTTTTAGTAAAACAACAAAATAACCATCCGACTGACTCAAAGCAGGCCATTGCTATACAGGCCCTCTTGCTAAGATTAGCCACTTTTTTACTAACTTGTCTACTCTATATTGTTTTTCATGAATCTGATAAAGAATTGAACAGCTTATTGAAACAAAATGGTGCAAAGGTTTAAATCAGATTTTGTGGTAAAAAAAAACAAAAAAAAAACATTCTCATTTTCTTTCGGAGGGTAAAACACAACAGAACACAAACAGTAAGAATATTATATTTTATTGAGTACAAACAGACATTAAAACTAAAGGAAATGACGTTGCGGGAAATGATGAGTGGTATCCTAGCAATCAGAATGATCAGGTTGCTAGGATACCCCAATGAGGCTGATACAGAGACTGGATCTTTAGGTAAAGAGTCTGATGGTGGCGTCTGCACCGGAGGAGAACACCCAGGGCTGTGTGGGGTGAAAGGTCACATCCAAGACCCCGAGGTCATGGGTGGTCACATGACCTCTGAGAACTTTGACTGGGACGATCAGCGGGTTCTGCAGGAGGTCACTGTAAGGGAAAGGAAAACCTGTAACACTTCTGTTTATCATTCATGTGCAAAAACATATGAGTGAGGCTGTTACTTGTAAACGGTGCCATGGCAGACGATCACTGATCCATCATCAGACGCTGATGCAAACAGTGGGTAACCTCTGTGATAGGCCACACTCCTTACCGCCTTCTTATGGTGCCTGGTGGGTAGAGAAATACAAAGAAATCAATATCAAGATAAATCTTCATAAAACAACATCAGAAAACTTTTTTTCAATTCCAAAGGCAGAACATATATAAACTAGGGCTGCAATTAATTATTTTGCAAATCGATTAATATGTCGATTATTTTTTTCAATTAATCTTTTAGCAAAATGTTCCTTAAAGAAGACTTTTTGCAAAATTAAACGAGGAGAAACTAAAACTTTTCCACTTGAGGAGTTCTGAATAAAGAATATTGACAGATGAAATAGATTTTAATGTTCACCTTTTTCTCGTTGACAATTTTGGTATAACTACTGCTCTATACTGCAAAAATTATCTAGAAATAAGTTAAAATTTTTTTAATTAAATGTATTTACCGTTAATTTGATTACTAAGATGATTTGCCAATGGAATAAGTATTTTTATTTAAAATAACATATTTAGATAATATGCACTTGAAATAAGACAAAGCAATTATTTATTCTTATTTTAAATGTAAATTGTCTGGTTCCATTGGCAAAGTGTCTTTCTCACCTCCTCAATTCAAGACAAAAGGTACTTATTTTAAGAAAAAATGACTTATTTAGATTTGATTTTTTTCCAGTGTAAGTGTGTTGCTCTGTCAGCTAAACGTATATGTTTTAAAGTCTCTTCACTCCAGTTAACAATTAATCGATTACTAAATTAGTTGATGATTATTTCAAAAATTGCTTAATCACGATTAATCAGTTAGTTTCAGCCCTAGTAGAAACATACACGTTATAAAAGAACCTGTTTCCAGTTATATATTGAAATCTGAAGCAAATTAAACAAAATGGCTTCAAATGGTAGAAAAAGTGCTGAACTGCCAGAGGTCACCTAAAACTGATAACTACTTTCAGAATTATACCAAACACCGTCGGGTTAGCCTTTCTTGATTGCTTACAAACCCCTCTGCCTGCATGAAAGCTGCTAGAACATACTGAGGTACCACCTCATGGTGAGCTTCAGTTCAACAGTATTATACAACAGAAAGTAGTGCTTAAAAAAAACAGCAAGAAAAAGGAAACGTACAGAAGAGAAACAGACAATGATAACAGTGGAAATCTCAGCATTCTCTGTGGAGAAACTGCAAAATTTGGTTTTCCTCAATCAGAGAAACTGACAGAAAGAGGTCTGGCAAATCTGAGGCCATATCTGAACAGAAATTTCTGAGAGATGCATGAAGGGCAGCTCACAGCGGGGCTAAATGATATGGCTTTAAAATCCAATCCCTGATTTTAAAGTTTCATGATAAAAATCACAAAACTAGCTTTGATTTCCATCATCTTTCTGGGAGTCTACCTTAATTTACATGGCAACAAAACCGAAAAAAATGCCTGTAAAAATAATCAAGTTTCACAACATACAATGAAAAATATAACACACTAAAATGTTGCAGCTAGTGGTATCATGCAGATATATTGTTTACTGGTATTAAATGCAGATATAAGAACAAAGGTGATTCCAACAATTAAATCGGCATAAAAAAGGTGATTAATCATCAACACGGTCATCAGATGCAAGTCTGAGTTTCAAATGTGAAGATTTTAAACCGCAGGCTTCACCCGATGAGTTCCAGGGAGGGACCCTTGCCTAAATAATAAAACACAAAGGAGTTTCTGGAAAATGAAAAGTGTTATGGACTAACGAATGAAAATTCTGAGATCTTCCTTTCATCAATCAGGATCTTTGCTGTGATGATTCCAGTGTTTGACAACTGTTTAACAAGGATTAAGAAGTACTATAGACTGGGCAAGTTTTACTGGATCCTGCACAAGGTGAGCGGCATGTATCAGCAGCTACCACAGTGCCCCCATGTATGGGCCTAGTTGGTTATGGGTTCATCGTACAGCAAGATAATGACCCAACATAAATCTCAGGAAGACCAGAACTAATCATGCAATAGAAGAACCAACTGGTAAGACTTGAAAAACCAGCACAGACTTCAAGCCCACTGAGCGGGATTGAGAGGAACTCGACAGAAGAGTGAAGAAAAAAGAGAAAAAAAAAAAAAAAACAGATACTATGCTATTTCTGCCAATGGTGGCTACATGGATGAGTCAAACACTTAGAAAACATTCTGGTCTATAAACCGATTCAATCATTTCCTTTTAAACTCTAACTGCTTTGTTTGTACGATGATTTTAATAAAAAAAAAACTAAATCATTTCTAATGTTATAAATGTAAATATTTTCATCAATGTAAACCAAAATATTCAGTTTCTCTGAATTTATTATAGTTCTACGAAGCTAATTAAAAAGACCATTTAAAATATAGAAATATTATAACAGATATGAGGTAAAGTACCGTAGCATCTTGTAAGGTTTAGTTGAAAGGTCAAGGTCAAACCAGCTCAGCCTGCAGTCGTAGCTCCCACAGATCACATGATCACCTGCAGACACAGAGGTCAGAGACAGCCTCAGCCAATCAACAGCGATGTAAAGAAAAGGTTGGACAGAACAGGAAGTGACTGTTATCGATCCACTAACCTCCAGAGTGAACAGCTATACTGGAGATCCACTTGGAGTTTGCTTGGAGTTTTTTGGTCATTTCCTGCTTGACCAGGTTGTAGATCCTGACCGAACGCTGCGTGGCCACAAAGAAGTAGGGCCTGATGGGGTGGAAGGACACGGCCTGGACTAGGCCTTTGTTTCTCCTGAAGGGGTTCTGGCTCCGTTGGCGGCTCAGCTGGTGGATGAACACCTGCTGGTGGCTGGAATGGTCTGGCATCACAGAGGCCAGGTAGTCTCCTTTACTGTGCCACGTCACCTGGTGGACAGCCTGAGGAGATGGACGTTCCTATTAGTTCCCTTTAGGAATATATTGGCTTTTAAAAAA